CCACTCGAGCAATGGCTTGTCTAGTGATGTCACTTGATGGATTGTTTCCTCAGAGTATGGCCAATCCATCTCCATTTCTTCCTACCTATTTGTTTCACAATCGGTTCCTGGTTGGTTCGTTCCCAAAGATCCCTGTTGCTGATCTTTTCTGGCCATCTGATCTTGAGTATTGAGCGAAGACAACTGTTAATGAAGGTCTGTAGTTTGTTTGAGATGCTCTTTATGACGCGCTGGCCAAGTCTCTGATCCGTATAGTAAGTGGCACTGACTTCACATAGGAGTTGAAAATCCGGATCTTATTTTTGATGCTGAGTGCTGTTGACCTCCATATATATATATATATATATATATATGTGATTGTACAGCTTTAGAATGATATCGGTGAAAACAGTAACTCTTCGCTGAATGCCTTTTCCTTTTATATGGATCGGTGGGTATGTTTAAGCTGTTCAAAATACATTACGTCAAATCTACTACGCACTAAGATATTTGGGCGAAATAGGTATTAAAAATACACTGAAAAATATCACTTTTTCAAGATTATCTAAAGAGCTACATAAGACTACAAGTCATGAACAGATGGTAAATTATAATTTTTGTTGGTAAGTGACATTTTTAATGGAAAAGATACAGAATACAAACATTTTGCTCACTAAGTGTTCGTTATTAATCTCTGATATATACTTTGAAAAGTATCACTGAGTTGATCTTTTGATGCATAACTTATAAAGTACAATTAACTCATCCAAATGATAAAGTTATTTTGTACAAAAACTCATAGATCATCTTTTGACTTCTGGTCACTCACATTTATTATGTTAGAGTTTATAAAGGTTTTATTCAATAATTAAGACCATAATTTAATGACCTTCAACTAATGATTTTTTAAGTAACCAATTCAAAAAACTGTACTACTTTTCTTACAAGTTTTTTACGTAATGTAAGAACCTTAATTGCAGGAGCTGAATTCGTTTTTCGTCTTCCTGTTGTATTTGATAATAGTAAAATGGCTTAAACCTTAGAATCTTTCCTAATTAACTCCAGTGCTACAACACAGTCAGCGTCAGTGGTTCGGGTTCGATTACCAGTCGATGCACACTTAAAACATCACCGTTGGAAGAAGAAATAGCGCAGGTGGGTTTTCGAACGGTTTTTTAGATAATTCGTCAGCCTACCATAGATCTGGAAATACATGATGATTGGTCCGACACGATAAAGCTGTTGTACTTTTGTGAAGCAAAGGTTGATTCTCTATGTTAGTTTTCATTAGTAATAGGAAATGACAATTGGAAAGGAGAAGGCAGTTGTGATATATGTCCCCGTGCCTCAAATACGTACGTATCAAGTGATACATAACCGGCTGGTCGATGAACTTGAAAAGAAAAGCCAGGAAAAGAGGGAAGATTGGACATGAGACTAACGACTATTGATATAAGAATAAAACTTGGGCAATTTAGTAGAGTGTAATTCCATTATGGGTAAATTTTATTTTGATAAAGTCTCAGTGTTATACAGTAATGTTTACTGATGACGTTTCGAGCACAATTTATTGCTCATAATCATATCAAGGTAATCACACAATTTCCTAAATTCATTTATATAGTTCCATTGTTTTTCACTTGATTTGATTGGTAGTATTATTTTCCATATTTCGGGTATGAGTGATGATTCATTCCTATTGCATGTGTTGGGTGTAGATTCGATGAACAAAGATTCAGTAATCAACCTCTCTCTCCACCTACCTAGATTACTTTTTAGAATCTTAACCCTCTCCCACCAACCTTATTGTGTGGTTGTGTGTTAATGCATGCATTGCAATTGCTGAGCTTTTTTCTAAATTACTTATCTTCTCTGGGTCAACCATTCTTACCTTAGCTAAATTCTTATGTTCTGACAATCTGACTACCCCTGACCTACTAGTTTGACCTATGTAGTTGACCTTACTCACAGTCATTGCAGGGTATTTTGTAAATTATATTATTTTGTCTAATTGAGTCAACCGACAGGGTCCTTTAACCTACAGAGCTTGTCCCTGAGTGAGTTTGTAGGTTTAAATGCCACCCTAATTCCTGCTTTATTTAGAATCCTACGTAGGGTCTCAGATGTCCCCTCTTTATATGGTATAACTGTAGATGACTTATATTCTCTCTTATTTATGTTATTATTACTAGTTTCACAATTATTTTTATTTTGCTTTTGGCGTTTTTCAATCTTCCTAATGAATTTTAGAGGATAGTTATTTAAAACCAACACTTCTCTCTGTTTTATTTCATCATTTAGGTCTTTTTTTGTGCTACTTAGTGCCATTGCTCAGTTTGTTAAACACTTAACTAAGCCTGCCTTAACAGTTAACGGATGAGATGAATTAAAGTCTAAATATCTATTAGAATGCGATGGTTTGATTGTCAGAACATAAGAATTTAGCTAAGGTAAGAATGGTTGACCCAGAGAAGATAAGTAATTTAGAAAAAAGCTCAGCAATTGCAATGCATGCATTAACACACAACCACACAATAAGGTTGGTGGGAGAGGGTTAAGATTCTAAAAAGTAATCTAGGTAGGTGGAGAGAGAGGTTGATTACTGAATCTTTGTTCATCGAATCTACACCCAACACATGCAATAGGAATGAATCATCACTCATACCCGAAATATGGAAAATAATACTACCAATCAAATCAAGTGAAAAACAATGGAACTATATAAATGAATTTAGGAAGTCGTGTGATTACCTTGATATGATTATGAGCAATAAATTGTGCTCGAAACGTCATCAGTAAACATTACTGTATAACACTGAGACTTTATCAAAATAAAATTTACCCATAATGGAATTAGACTAACGACTACCCATCCCATCCTGCAAAAGCAACATTGTTCCTACCGAAACTTCATCACATAAAGACTGAAGCCATATATTTTCCACGTGGAAGAAAATGGAATGAAATAAGACTAAGATTTAGTCAGATTTATATTACCTTATTGACACTTCAATTCTCCGTAAAATTTCATATGAAAGAGAAAAGATTACAAAGTTGATTAACTTAAAATTCAAATTCCTACCTACATGATATTCCGTCATATATTTAGGACACCATATTTTGAAGTTAATTTATCTTTAGAATGAATAATAATCATTGGAAATGATGAATAGTTACAAAATTGTTTAAATGATTTATCAACCTCTTTTTCAGGATAATTGTTGTGGGGAAAAATGTTTGTAAACATATGTAGATAAATAATTTCAAAATGTCCTACACATAAATTTTAATTTGATGATAGGTAAATACATTCATCCATTTGTCAGTATAAGTATAATGCAAGTAAACACTATCCCACTTTCTTTCAAATAAAAATAAATGAGCAGGGTATCTTGTACACATACACGTGTTAGGGAATAAAAATGTTAAAGCTGTACAATAATCAGTTCATAATCTTTAGGATTGATTGTAGCTTTAAGGCTATATGACTGAATGCTGTTCAATTAACTGTAGGATTCAGCCTAATTTATTTCATACATTTGTCATCTAATTTCTACAGGATAGGGGAATGATTATTATTATTAGGTACTGCGTGAATATCATTCATTTTCTGATAGTTGGATAATATGCGAAATTGTAATAAATTTTAGGAAATTCATGTTTAAGAGGGGTTTATTAATTTAGGCATGTAAATTACCGCATCAAAGAGCAAATATACCGTTTATATTTCGATAAAAAAAGGAAGACAAAATTTGCTGTATAAAATGATATCATATTCTATTTCACAGGTTCTCATCAACTGCAGACTACCTGAAATTACAATGGTCATATACATGATAATAACATACTTTAATGTTTAAGTGGTAGTAGAGAAGAAATACTATAAAACTGACGCATCCAAAATGTAAGCATTACAATTTTTAGTTTAAGTTTTCATCATCAATTTATACGCTTTCAAAGTAGAAAAGAGAGGGGAGGGATAAGACAGAAAACAGAAAAAAATCACAAAGGGTGAATGCGTCTGCCTTGTTGAGTACGATTTTAAGCCATATCACCAAAAGTCTCCAACCATTAGTTCTTACAGTCCCTTGGAACCTAACCACGTAGTGGCTCAAACCAACTGTCGAAAATTTCATGGTCTGGCTTATCCACGTTCTAGTGTTTTTCAACCCAACCCTATGACACCTAACATTGCCTGTCGAGAGGGTTAATGGCTTCATATGGACAACATTTCTTCTAGCTATCTTAATCCAACAAGCTTCACAACCTCAAAGACTGACTTACCCTCCTCCTTACCTACAACTATACTCCCAACCTTAATATTTCGTATCATATTTTACTGCTTAAAACGGGAGATAGAACGCACACATTTGTGGTCAAAGACGGCTAGCCTCTTCAGGTCTTCTACTTCTAATGTCAGTGCCTCAAAATCGTAAAGGAGAACTGAGCAAACTGATGAGATTTACATAAGTCTTTTAATCGATAGCTTCCATAGATGGCATAAGTTAGCCATTGCTACATGAGTCTTTTGTATTCGTGCTGAGATTTCAACAACAAACTGTCGATTAGGGCTGTGCAACTTTCACGTTTAACCTAGGTTTTATACATACGTCAGTAAGGTTTATCTTCAACCTCTAAGGAATTGACGGATGCCCTCTCGAAGATTCAAACCCGTGTTCACTCAGTGCTGCAGTTAGAGACTTCACCATTGAACAATTCGCGCTAACGAATAGGCTCTTGTGGGACTGTAGTGAATACACTGATTGGTCAACAGGGATTAGCCAGTATTATGTGTCTAGTTCAGTTTGTTGTCTTTTATACACCAAGATAGTAGGTCATCTAAGTTGTTCATCACATTACAAACTTGACTGGTATAACTCAGTCAGCACCACCAAGTGCTATATACATGGCACCGCTAACCAACAAAAGTACATATTTAATTATTTTAGGCATTCTTAAAAACAGAGAAATTATTCTTATTTCTATAACCTGAAGATGATACAGTTTTGAAATATACTTACCTTGCCACGGTCAACTGAAGATCTGTGCCAGCAGAACGAATTTTCTGTGTTGCTTCCTCATGGCTTAAACTACGCGCACTTTCTCCGTTTATTGATAAAATGGCGTCTCCAGTTTGCAAAACCCCTTCTGATGGACTACCACTCTGCGTCTAGAGATGAAGAAATAATGTGAAAAAATGAAGCAGAAAATGAGCATATTGAAAAATATTGTAAAAGTAGTGTGAAAAGAACAAACACACAATAATGTGCTTTATTTAATACTGTAACTTCTAAGAAATAAAGGATGGCTGGAAGATCATGAGGTGCATGCTACAGAAGAGTCCTAGACTAGGACGAAACAACTGTCCAGTTTTCAGTGGTTCTATGTCAGAAATCAGTCCTTGGTCAAACCTGAATCTTGTTAAATCCCTATAAATCAACACTTGAAAATTTACCTAATATTCACTAATGACTGACTACAGGATGCAGCTGCCTGGAGTTCTAGTGAGAAGTCATGACCAGTTGGGTCCATCAGGTTGAGTGTGAGGAGAAATATTGATCAATGACACTGGCTAGTGGTGGTGTCGAAAGTCAGGGATTGTTGGAAGTTATAATTGGTGGGCCATTGGATTCTGTAGCAGTTGGTGAATGGTCACCGAGCTCTCCTAGTAACCTAGAGGTGATGAGTACGACTTCTAGCTATGAGGTCATGGGTTTGCTCTGATGAAGAATCTCAAAGTAGCGTGAAAAAGCTATCCAACACTCCCGGGTACTATAACTGATATCCATCCGTGATCAGACTAGAAGGAGGAAATTTTTTGAGTTTTTTTATGGAATTTATCAGCACAGGATTAGATTATCACATTCCTCTAGTTGTCAATGAATATATAAGTGAGACATGTGACTAAGTCATCCCAAAGACACGGGATTATGAAATAACTAGTATGTGGACATATTTATCTAATTTATTCGAACCTCATTCAACAGCTGTATGACAGTGGCACGTGTCAGGTGATCCACAACGGAAAACTCAACGAGGCGTTCGAAGTGCATACAGGAGTAAGACAAAACTGCTTGCCTATTATCACCGATGATATTCTTAATTGTGGTGGACTGGATTATGCGTCAGACTGTGGGGAGCGAGGAGACAGGAATACGCTGGACCACCGATAAGAAGACTCTAGAAGATCTGGATTTCGCAGATGATATATGTCTGATGCCACACAAAGTCGAAGGCTTACAGGCGAAAGCCAACAAACTGACTGAATACGCTGGCAGCGAAGACAGGATTGACTCCAGGTGAACATAGAGAAGACGGAGGTGATGAAGATAACCAACAAATCGCAACAACAACAACCAGCACCAGTCACCATCAACGGGAGAGATTTAACAAAGGTTACCTCCTTCACTTACCTAGGCAGCCAGCATCGTTTCAACCAAAGGGGAAACGGATGAAGACATCAAAGCAGGCCAGAATCGGAAAGGCAAGATACGCCTTCATCAACCTAGAATCAGTTTGGAAATCTTCTACACTAACTCAGCATAAGGAACAACATTCGGATTTTCAACACAAATGTTAAGTCAGTCAGTTCTTTTATATGGGTCAGAAACTTGCACTGTGTGTCAGTCACGAAAAGGATTTCCAACAGGCTACCGCAGACTTTCATCAATAGCTGCCCTCCTCGCTGGCTCCATACTGACGATCAACTGGCCTGCTGCCCACGAAGAATTAGGGACAAGAAACTCTGGCTAAAAACAAACCAACCAAGAGCCTATCGCTCAAAAAATATGTAGGAAAAAATGGAGATGGATCGGGCATACACTGAGGGGACCGTCGAATGATATCGCGCACCAGGCCAGTGCTCGAGTGGAATCCAAATGGGGACCGACGAGTGGGTCTTCGGTGCGAGGGTGATATGGAGGCGATCGTGTGAGGAAGAGATGAGAGACTATGGTCAATCGTGGACCCAGCTAAAGAGGACGTCAGAAAGCAGAACAAAGTCAAGACGTGTTGTTGAAGCCCTATGTTCCGATTGAAACCCAAGAGGACAATAATAATGTTCGTCGCCTTCAGTTTTAAATGACTGTGGCAACAACACCTTCTTTGAAGAGCATTTTCAAAATTATGACGGCAGTTTAATGACAGGATGTAAATATAAAAATAATTTACTTGAAATAAATATATCTATGCTTACATAATTATTTCAGTAGTTTCTTCTTGCTGAAAATTATCTCCAAAAACTAAATTATGAAATTAAGTTCGGCAGTTTATTTTTCCTATCTGATTTTACCTCGGAGTAGTAACTGAACTCGGCTTCTGTATGCCACTTGAAATAAGCATCTAATGTATGGGGATACTTCATTTCTGAGTATTATGATGCTTACAAACTGTTTTATTTACATGAGCACAAAGTTAAAAAAAACTCCTCCAAATACATTATTATAGAAAAATTTTGTATATCCCAGGGAATGAAAAACAAAACGATATTGGGATATACAAAAACTTTTATAATAATATGATGGAGAAGATTTGTAGCTCAGGTGGATGATTTTGTTGTAGTTGTGTTTTCTGAGCTGGATGGTTTATTTACGAAGCTTTCATTGTCCTAACACTAGGCAACATCTTCAGCCCATACTTCAATTTGAAGTGAGCTTTTAGATTTCTCCACGAGTTTATTAGTCATCTCTCCTGGTGACCTTGAACGTGATTGCAACGACTGCGAAAAACACTACATTGGCCAAAGTGGACGTCCCCTTCGTCTTCGTATCCATGATCATAAGCTAGCCGTCAAAAGACATGACATCCACTCCTTCATATCACTGCATACAGACAACCATGGACATCAGTTCGACTGGGACAACGTTCAAATATTAGACAGAGGAAACACCAAGAATGCTAGAGAATTTTTAGAAGCCTGGTATTCCAGTGAATCGTCAGTCAATAGACATATTGACATAGACAAAATTTACCAGTTGATAAGAAGGAAATCTCACACAGGTCAAAGTTCAGTTCAAGGAAACAGTAAGTACCAATACAAATAGCCTAGAGGGTGTGATGGCACACGAAACCAACCAATCACGTTCAATATCACCAGGAGAGATAACTAAAAATATCGTGGAGCTTGGTAGTGAATCGTCAATCTTTAGACACACTGATGTAGACAAAATTTGCCAGTCAATAAGAAGAAAAAATCACAAAAAGAGGGTCAAAGTTCAGGTCAATCAGTACCAATACAAGTAGCCTACAGGGTGTGAAAACACGCAAAAACAACCAATCCCGTTCAAGGTCACCAGGAGAGATGACTAATAAACTCGTGGAGAAATCTAAAAGCTCACTTCAAATTGAAGTCTGCGCTGAAGATGCTGCCTAGTGTTGGGGCAATGAAAGCTTCGCAAATAAACCATCCAGCTCGGAGAACACAATTACATCAAAACTTTTACAGTGATGAATATCATGTACCCAATAACCAAATTTTTTTCAAACTCTTAAAAGTGAACTTGGTTTGCACATATATCATCCCCCAAACACAGCTTACTCTCCTTTTTAAGCTATTTCTAACAGCTACCTTCTAGGAATAGAATTAGTGACATAAAATTCCAAGCATTAGAATTTCTGAACAACATGGAGTCTCAGTAAGTTTAATGTTAATATATTAAAGTGTAAAATATTATGCTCAATGAAATTTTATGATCTCCCCTTTTATATCTTTTTGATTTTTATACTTAAGAAAACACTAGGAGGTAAAACGTGTTTCTGATAGACCAAAAAAATCCTGCTGTTTCCTTCATTCTCCAGAATTATTCTCTCTAAACTAATCCTTACGCTAAGTGATACTGCTGGATTTTGGATGCACTTTGATTTTTTACCAGAAACATTTCGTGAGTTTGACCACGGATTAATATGAGTTAGAGAACTATTGAAAGCCAGGGAGTGCTGAACAGCCAGCTGTTTCATCCTAGTTTGGGGATCATTGGCAGTATGCACCCACTGAGGTTCGATGGTTCTCTAACTAATATCAATCCGTGGTCAAACTCGAAAAAACAAGTCTAATCCTTACAAACCAACTCTTGAGAAACACTTCTGTTATATTCCACATTGGGATCTACATAGTGAAACGACAGAAGACGAAAGACTCGGTAAAGGAAGTTGGTATCTCTACATAGCCAAATTATGTATACCTTATCTCCAGCGTACCATTCGCACAGATCTTCGTGTTGTGGAACTTCTGGACTTCATGCTGTGTTTCTTTGTGTTCCATTCACGTCTCCCATGTATCTCCTTGCTATTTGATGTTTTTATGCCAATGAACGTCTCTTTATATACTACTGATAAATCTTATCAGTAGCACTCGCCACAATAGGTATGAAAGTGAAGCTGTGAGAATGAGTTCAATGAAAAAATAATTCTTCTTCATGGCTGCTTCTATAACTATGGAGGAGGGTATTTGTTAGTGAAAATTTTTTTATGGGATGACCATATATCTATACAAATTATTTGCGAATCACATATTAACGGTTTTTTCCAATATTGAACTATCTACATCTTGAACACTTAATATTTTTTTGAGGGATTTATCCATTGGATAAACATTTATTATTCTGCTTTATCGTAAGAGTTAAAACAAAGTTTTATTTATATTACCCAGCTGTAGTTGATTAAAAGTTCCCGAATACTTTAATTTGTTAAAATGCATAAAAATATCGATTTAACTAGATTTCAGACAAAAGCATTACAAGGCGTTTAATCAAGAGAAAAACATATTTGACATTATTGGGTATGTCATAGCTTCATATAAACAATTGGCGATTAAAGATACGATATTACATATATATAAGCATGTTGTTGGAACATTTAGACGAATAAGAATTTAGCTTATTGATTTTCGTCCAGCCATTTGGTTTGGAATTCATTATTATTATTTCCTTTAATTCCTAGAGGAACATAGGGCTTCAGCCGCGCGTCTCCATTGCGTTCGGTTCTCTGCTAAAGTTTTCACCTGGCTCCACGTCTGCCCACATGCTTTCATCTCCTCTTCACATGACCTCCTCCATGTCACCGTCACACTGACGATCAACTCGCCGCTTCCCTTTCGGGTTCCACTCGAGCATGGCTTGTCTAGTGAGTATGGCCAATCCACCTCAATTTCTTCCTGCTTATTTGTTGCACAAT